ATATATATATATATTAAACCTATATATATATATATATATATATATATATATATATATATATAATTATTATTATATTTTTGTTATAATAAATTACAATAAGCATTTTACATCGCTCCACAAAAACAATCATGTTTCGGTACTGAGATGGTACATCATCAGGCGATGGTACATAACTAACTATTTATTAGATTAGTTATCTATTAGTTAACTAAATAGTTATTAGATTAGTTATGTACCATCGCCTGATGAGGTACCATGTCAGTACCGAGACATGAAAGTTTTGTGTATTTACTTTTTACCTTAAAATACTGATGATATATTTACTTTGGTTTGGTTTGGTTTATTTTGTTTTACGGTATATCAACCTCAGTGGGTTGTTTAATGGTGACAAGATTTTTATTACTCGTAATATTTTTTTTCAAAAATATATTACTGCTAATATATTTCATTTCCGAAAATGTATTACTGCTAATATATTTTTTTTTCAAAAATATATTGCTGGTAATATTTTTTTTCCAAAAATGTACTGCTGGCAATAAAGTATTGCTGTTAATTATTTTTTCCTTCATAAATTCATTGCTACGAATATGTTTTTTGCAAAATTAAAATCTATTTTTTAAATTTTTTATAGTGTTTTGACCTTACTTTGGTGGGGGTTAACTTTGTTGGGACCCTAACAGTGCATTTGGGAACACCAGCAATTAAGGTGTGGTTCCACGCTCCTGATCAGAGGCTTTGCTGTTGGGCGTAGTTTATCGTCTTACCCAGGACGCGGATGTAGTTTATCGTCATACCCAGAAGGCAAATATATTTGATTTAAGTCCATACTGCTTTTCATAATTTAATATTTCTTTTCTGAGATGAGTAATTGTCAATATTTTTGTATTATTTCAAAATATTATTATTATGATCTTGGTTGATATAGAAGTTATTATAAGCACAACTTTTCGGTCAAGAACCCTCCGGTCATCATCAGGTGTCTACTGATTGATTGATATGGAGTATTTGTTGATTACTGAGATTTTGCCCTTGTAATATGATGAACAGAGGCTACTTTGGTGAAACTGTGTCCATAATAACATCTATAACAATCAAGATGAGGACAATAATGTTTGTCTGCATTTCTTGGATGAGGAGTTATCATTCTTTACACTATTTATATTCGGACTATTGTTGGGGAAAGGTATTTGAATGTCGAAATAGAGAATAGTACATTGTTGTAAACGATTTTACACTGGTAGATGCTTAAATATTGGCAATTTGATAAACACTGCAGCACATCAATTTTTAGTATAACTGACTTGAAATATGCCTTCCATTAAATCCTAATATTTGATGAAGACAAGCTTCACATGGCTTTTGAGTTCTGAATTCAGCTGTACCAATTCTGCTGGATTCCATTTGGAGTAACCAATGGTATTGATTGCTTTCAGTATATTCTAGACAAATTTATTATTGACAACTCTTTCCGATAGGTTTGCTTACCTAGATCATATAAAACTGTTTATGAGAAAAGTAAGAAAGGACTTAACATTAATCTCAGGTGATTTAATGAGATTGTTGAGAAATTTAACTTGACATGAAATCATGCTAAATGTACATGGCCCTCTGCAACATCCATGCATCTCCTGGGTTTATACTATTCCTGAGGATAAAACTTGATCCTAAAAGACCAAAACAACTTTGTCTTCTTCAGGACATAAATTCATTATGTTGTGCTATAGATAGGTTCTCTTATTATTCCTATTGGATTGCCGATGACTGAAGAGATTTCACCTATTATTTAAGTTAAAACATATCCACTACTCAACATGGCTGAAAAAAGGCATTAGAGTGAAAAAGGTATTGGAATGCTGAGGTGGAAAATGCCACAGTACATTCTATTGGTGAAACAATTCTTGTAGAGACAGATGCATCTGATCATGCCATCACTGCAAGCTTAAATCAAATTGGTAGATTGGTGGTCTTTCTTGTCAAGAGCATTAAATACTAGTGTACAAAAACGCTCAACAATAGAAAAAGGGGGTATATACGATAGTGGGGACATTACCCTTCTTAACGATAAGAAATCAGTGATGATTATAATTATTTTACTAGTATGTTTAAAGACTAGTAAAATTAAAAAGGATAACATTCAGAGATGAAGGACTGAACTTGCTTGCTACAGCTTTGACATAAAGTACTTAGATGAGATTATAGCAAATGCTTTGTACAGAGCATACTGTTCTGTTGTTAGTTTTAATGTTAGTGTTAAACTGTATAACTGTCACCCGGGTGTGAACCAACTTTCCATACAGTAGATGCGACAGTTGATTCAATATGGCCGCTTCACTTCATGTCAGTGGTAAATGTAAGCCCAACAAGGCATAGAGTGTTGTTCTCCTGGAGTTTAGAATCAGCCATGCTGATGTCAAGCAGAAAAGGTTCTCTGTGGTGATTAAATGAAAGCAGTTTTGTTTTGAGAATCTAAAGAGGTTTTCAAACTGGTGTTCCATTTTTGCTGAGCACAAATCAGATTCATCTGGTGTCTCTTAGTATTTCATTTCTGAGATGAGTACTTGTCAATATTCTTGTATTATTTCAAACTATTGTTCTTAGCTTGGTTGATACATATGTTATTATAGACACAATGTTTCAGCCAAGTACCCTCTGGTCATAATCAGGTGTCCATTGATTGGCTGATATAGAATATCTGTTGATTACTGTGATAGTTTGCCCCTATGGTATCAGTTATTGTTTGTTCCTGCTGAATTCGTGTTACTACCATACCCAAACATTGACCACGAGATGACAGAAACACATATATAACCAACTCTTATATTCACTACACCACAGTCCAGGAGTATTTTTGGTACCTTTTATATTCAATGTCAGGTGTTTTTTTATGGCGAGTTCATACCTCTTTTTATAATTTAATATTTTATTTCTCCTATGAGTAATTGTCAATATTCTTGTATTATTTTAAACTATTATTCTCATCTTGGCTGATATAGATGTTGTTATGGATACAATGTTTTAGCCAAGTACCCTCTGGTCATCATCAGGTGTCCATTGATTGAGTGATATAGAATATCTGTTGATTATTGTGATATATTGCCCCTTTGATATCAGTTATTGTTTATTCCTATAGAATTAGAATGTCACTACCAGACCCAAAGATTGACCACTAGATGACAGAAACACATGTATCAGGTCATCCCATAAGTTCTGTCCAAATTTTGAATAAAGAAAACAAGTGATCAAATGTTACATTTAATTACAGATTCAATCAACAATGTATTTTCCCTGATTATCTATGACTTCCTTCCATCTATTAACAAGCTTACTAATTCCATAACTGTAAAATTCTTTTGGCTTTGATTCGAAGAACTCACAAAAGTCAGTTTTAACCTCTTCCTGTGTTACAAAAGCTGTTTCTTCCAAATGATTCTGTAAGCTACGAAACAAATGGTAGTCTGAAGGAGCAAGATCGGGAGAATATAGTAGATGAGGAATTTTCTCCCAACCAAGTTCTTCGATCTTTTGTGACGTGATTCTTGCTGTGTAGGGTCGCGCATTGTCCTGATGAAACATCACCTCTTTTCGATTCACTAGAGCAGGTCTTTTTTTCTTAAAGCTTGGTTCAAATGCTCTAATTGCTGACAGTATATTTGAGCATTAAGTGGTAAGAATTCAAAGTGGATTATTCCTTGGCGATCCCACCAGATTGAAAGAAGAACCTTTTGCTCATGATGTTCCCTTCTCGGCTGTGGCTGGGGTCCTTCCTCTTTACCAAGCCACTGTCTACGACGCTTAACATTTCGATAAAAGATCCATTTTTCCTCGCCAGTCACAAGTCAATCCAAAAAAGGCGAAACAAGTTGGCGAGAATGGAGAGAAGAGCAGATATCAACTCGGGATTTGAGGTTGTTTTCAGACAATTCATGAGGCACCCATTTTCCAAGTTTAGGAACTATTCCATGTTGTTGAAGATGACGATGAACTGTTGTATGGTTTGAACTGAGAACCACTGCAAATTCCACAACTGATAAAGCAGGATTTTCTTTCTTTTCAAGGGCTGCTTCAAGAAGCTTTTCATCAAACTCTACTGGACATCCGGTTCGATCTTCATCTTCAAGGGTGAAATCTCCACCTCTGAATTTTGCAAACCATCTTCTGCAAGTTCTTTCATTCACACATTCCTCTCCATAAACTGAGTGAATGTTTCTAGCCGCTTTGGCTGCTGAGTTTCCTTTCTTGAACTCATAAAGCATTATGTGCCTCAAATGATTCTTCGGTATTTGTTAGCAGGGGTTTAATCAAACAAAATAATAATTTTATTGTTCTCTGAAATAAAATTTGATCAGTTTAAATGCATCTAAACATAACAATAATGTTCAGCTCTATTAGACATTATAAAATACTGTTTAAATTTCGTTCATTTTAACAAAAAGTTAAAATTCGGACAGAACTTATGGGATGACCTGATATATATATATATATATATATATATATATATATATATATATATATATATACACCTAGTGAGCCAGACAAACCTACCTAGGTTTCACCTAAACGGATCGTCAGGGAAAGTTTGTATTGAGCTCTTTTGTTAGTTAGTTGTTACTCGTATCAGGGTTTTTCTTTGGGCTTCAGACCTGCATCTGTGCGATTTTTTTTGTCGGCAGAAGTCCATGTTTGTAGCTCTTTCTTTTTAAAACCTTTTTTCCCTCGAGATTGATTTGATTAGCAAATCAAAATTCGAGGTTTTTCAAACGAGTCTAGTTTCTATATATATATATATATATATATATATATATATATATATATATATATATCCACTACAGCGCCGTCTCGAAGGGTATTTTTGGAGCCTTTTATATTTAATGTCAGATGATAAACTATGATATATTATGATATATGTCAGAATACATAGTATCGGAAATGGTGTCCTTATAGATATAAACAGTAGGGACATAGGTATCAACACTGCAAAGCGACTTCATTTTCCTTCCCAGATTTCTGTTCTTTCCTCTTTTCTCCCTTCTCTTCTCTTTTCCCTCTCTTCTTCTCTCCTCCTTTTCAACGTCTTTCTCTTCCTTTTCTCTTTCATTTTTTACTCTTCCTCACTTCCGGCAGCTCCTCCTCTTCCCCCCCCCCTCTGATCCTATTTCCACTCCCTGTTTCTGCTCTTCTCCCTTTTTCCTTCATTTTCATTCGCTACTCCTCCGCCTTCTCTTCCTTTTCTCTTCATCTTTTTTTCTTCGCCTCTTCTCCTTCTGCCTCTTCTTTTATTGCTGTCTCTCTTTCACTCCTCCCGTCTATTATTATTCTTTACCCTCCTTTTCTTTATTCTCCTCTTCCTCTTCCTTTTCCTTTTCTTCGACTCATTCAAATGACACCAAACAATGCAGGCCACATTCTGTCATGTCATGTGTAACCCTTGCCACATAAGTAAACGACCGTTAATCCCCGGGGGTCTTGTGGAGGATGGGAATACGAAATGCTGTTCAGGGTCGTGTGTGTGTGTGTGTGGTCCACAATAACTTGCATATTCTACAAACACCAACTGCTTGTTGTCCTCCTAAATTAGGCAAGGTCAGAGTTGAAGGCGCTAGGACCCACATGCCAATGTGTATTGTTAAACAAGTGCGAATATTTGTCTTGGGAGGGGGCAGTAGGCTGAGAAAACATTGAGTTTTAGTTGAGACATTATTCTCGATTGATAGGAGCCCTCAAAGCCATCTAAGACAAACAGTAGACACACACACACACACACACACACACACACACACACACACACACACACACATATATATATATATATATATATATATAAAGAAAGATAGCAAATCAGTTGCTACATAATTAAAGTGGATCCAAGTAATGTCAAATATTAAAACTGATCCACAAAAAGTGTATTTATTATTACAGAGCTATATAATTAATAAACTATAAAATCCAAAATCACCTCATATGGGGAATAGCCTATTTCAGCAGACAAAGATATCGGTTGTCTGTCTTATCAACCCCGGTGTGGACTGTGTTAGTGTCAGAAATAGAAATTTAACTGTGAACGCTAACATATTAGCTAATTAAGTTAAACCTATATTATGGAAATTTGAATTTGTTTTTATGTTGACATTTTAACACTAATTCATTCCTGTGATTCAATAGTTGGCTTTGATTAATATCGGTCGTCTGTCTTATCAAGCCCGGTGTGGACTGAATTCGTGTCAGAAATAGAAATTTAACTGAGAAAGCTAAAAAAAAATCAACCTGTCGAGAAACTAATACAGAATTTATCCATTTCAATGTTTCAGTCAGATGAAAGGCACGAGACAGGAGTCAGGGGAGTGTAAAAGCTATTTGTCTTAAAGGGAAGAAGTTTTATAAAATTAGACCCAAATATTAACCTTATGACATTAATTTGGAGTTATATGATGAATGAAATATTAATTTAAAATTAAAAGAGGAATAAAAAGGGCTTTAAAATTACTTTAAAATATATAGATAAAAGGATGTAAGGGATGAATGGAAAGAGAGTTGAGTCGATCTTAAAGTAGGGGAAAGTTTATAAATTATGATTAATATAGTGTAAAGAGGATATAGAGGGAGAATAGAAATTAGAATTAGTTATACTTTCGACATTTAAAGAGTTAGAGAGGAGTAAATATTATGGAAATGGGTCGGGACACTAAAATCAAGCAGGCGCGGAAGTTTAAATATCTGGGAAGCGTTCTGACAGAGCAACGAAAACAAATTCTTTTAGCTGTTTTTTTTTTATCGCATTAATATTTCGAAATAACTTCATGCGTATAGCTGAGTTCGAAACCGGTTGGCAGTTTGCATATCGTCCTATTTTGTTCGATTCGCGTTCCTTGAGCCTGAAGATAGACCAGGGGAAACCTTCGAGACGCATTCAGAAGCAAATGGAAACGAATATATTAAGAAAGGAACAAGGAAGGGCAAGCAGAAATCAAGTTCTGGCGGAAATTAGAAAAACGAAAACAGAGAGAGAGATAGAGAGAGAGAGAGAAAGAGAAAGAGAGAGAGATTATCCTTTGAAGAATTTTATCGGCAAGTTTATTGAGTTTTTATTGAGGATTCTAAGGACAGAGATATGCAAATATCGATAGATGCGGAGAAGGAAATGAAATAGAGATCCCAGTACCATTTGTATGTTGTCGTCTGCTTTTTGCCAATTGATTATTTCAAATAATTTTTGTTGCTTTTTTTCTTTCTGACTTACTCTTTTTATTTCATTCGTTTCACTCGTTCTTTCATTTGTCTTTCTTTTCCTACGTCTCTTTTCATCGATTTCACTCCAACCAAGGAGGTAAAGCCACTAAAATACAAAGGTTTATTGGGCGTGGGAGAATTAGGAACAGAAACTTTACTAAGGAGCAAGCACAAAAGAAGAGTAATCAGGAAGACAGTAGAAAGCGATTGACATTGAATTTAAAGTTTTGAAGATTAAAGTTGGCAGCAAAGGGTGGATCGGAAGAGAGTTCCACAAGTGAGAAGTGCGAGAAAAGAAACTGTTAGCGTAGAACTTAGGGTTATATTTAGCCAACTTAACTGGTGGGACCTCGTCTTTATATATATATATATAAACAAACCTAACAACCTAAACAAAATCAACTATGGAATCTCTACAAATATCCTTAAATGTCTATAATTGGCAACAGAAGCCATTGGTTTATACCAACAGCTTCCCATACTTAATACTACTCGAATTCACTTTCGCGTGGTCATGTGTGACGTCATGAGCTGCAGTGCGATTTTCGCTTTTAGCGTCTTATATGCATGTGTTTATCTTTGCTTGGAAATCATCCATGTAAACAATAACAGACTATTATCACTGTCTTGTCCGTATATTGCTTAAGATGTTGTACAGTAATTGACATCATTGATAATGGCTTATGTAAGCCGAAAGCTTAGATTGGATTAAAAAATATGGATCAATGTTGTGATTTTCTTTTCTTTCTTCGCTTAATGATAATGTTATTAAGCTTATCAGACGTTATGAAAAGAATTTACATAAAATAAATAGACAACAACTATATTATTTATCTATATTATTTAATATAAATATATATATATATATATATATATATATATATATATATATATATAAATAAAAAAAAGTAATTCATCGAGTCTAGAAAAAACCTCAACAAAATACCGAAAGCACTGGATGGCCGTTTCGTCCTATATTTGGGACTCATCAGCAGTGTGCATCCACTACCGAGAATTGAAACCCTGACAGTTGGGTTATCATGCAAACGTCATACCAACTAATATAGACTAATAGTAATACTCGTTTGGTAAAAAAAACTCAGATAGCTCAACTCAGTAGCCAAGGAAAAAATTAGAAATAAAAAAAAAAGAAAGAACTAAAAACATTCGAACAGGGCACAATAAATCGTCCAGTGCCTTAAGTCTTTAGTCCAAAGAATATATATATATATATATATATATATATATATATATAGATATAATATATGGCACATATAGTGTGGGCATTAATAAAACAGTGCTCGTTGTAATGCAATAGAGCTATTAAGTATATATTAATAAATATATATGAAAAGTGCATATGTTCATATATATATATATATATATATATATATATATATATGAAAAGTGTGTGTGTATATAGATATGTGTAATATATTATATATATTATTTTCTATATTTTTGAGATGGGGTATTATATACATTATGGAACTAGAACAGTCTACACCATTGGGCGAGATAAAGGGTTCAGTTCGACATTCCAACCACCTGAAGAAGGCCGGAGCATACAACGGCCGAAACGTTGTAATAAATACGGCGACAAAGATGAGTACAATAGTCCGAATAATGTAAATAATGTATATATTATTATTTATATATTATTATATTATATTCGCGGTACTTATGAGAAAGCGCTCAATACCAGAGATAGAGCTAACATATACATAATATATATATATATATATATATATATATATATATATATATATATATATGTGTGTGTGTGTGTGTGTATATGAAATATATATATATTATTTATATATTATATGCGCGGTACTTATTGGAAAGCGCTCAATATCAGAGATAGAGTTAACATATTTGGTTGGATTCATGTGAGTTTGTGACCCTGGGTTTCACGCTTTTGCGATCGTCAGACAAATTGATTTATTTTTAAAAGTTTTGGACTTATGTAGGCTTGCGTGTATTGGTGTTTTATGGAAGTAGAAGGAAAAATTGTCGTCGTGACGCCATTCATATTTACGCAAACATACATGGACGCCCGTATACCCATTGAGGTACGCAGACACATATCCACGCGCTCGTCCACCGGAGCTCACACAAACATAAACATATGGGAACAGTATGGGACTTGACATATATATGCATATGTATGCTGTTGTGTACATACGTACGCATCTGATTGCTGAATTCAATGATGGATTGTGTAGCAAATAATTTTCCTGAATGTAACAATGTCAATACGCAGACTGTTTTTCTATTTTTTCGCTGAATAATATTTCCTCGCACGCATATATTATCCCACAAGTAATCTCCTTTTTTGCTTAATAAAGAAAAATTAAAATTAATATTCACAACTCTAGAATTATTTTTTACACATATATATATAATTCCGCTTAATTTAAATGCCATATATTTCTTTAAATTAAAAACTATAATATATAACATTGTTATTACCAGATATTTTTAACATTTAAATAATGTCATGGTGCATGAAATTCCGTGTCGTGCTATCGGTGAGTGATAATATATATATATATATATATTGTTTATATACATAATACTTTCTTGCTAAGTTATTATATTATTACTTATTCATGTCTTACTGTAAGTGAAAATCAGAGAGCTTTATATACATATATTAATTCCTTCATGACCTTTCCGCTGATACATCTGAATTAGAAGACCTGTTATTTTGCTATAAAATCCTCTTAATTTATTTGCCTTCTACAATTGCATTGAGATAAACAAACAATAAAAGAAAGAAATTTATAAAACAAACATTCATGTTATTTTCATATAATTTCAAGTTCCTTCTATAAATTTTCCTTTCACTGTCATCTCTTTGGTCAAACTAAGTGAAAACATTCATGTCTGCTCAAAGCGTATCCAAATGTAAACAAATGACGTTACACGTTATGAAATGGACAAAGTCCGACAATTATTTTAATACATTTTTATGTTTATACATTCTTTTTATAGATATAAATATTTAAGTAAATACTCTGTTTATAGTAGATGTTTACCTGACCCCCCTCCCCACACTGAGTCAGGTTGTGACAAAAGGTCAGTTTTTAATGTGGGGACCCGAGTGTTTTCACTCAGGCCGATGGTCATAGCCGGTCCAAGCTAGTCATAGCCGTGATACCAGCAGCACAGGGACGGAACCCTGGGAC